GGGAGCAGGAAACCCCTCGCCCCGCCCCTCGCCCCGCCTCCGCGGATCCGGCTCCCCCGCGGTGGGAGGGCGGCGGGGCAGCCCAGGAGGTGCGATTTTAGGTTGCACAGGCATCCGTTCTCTGCTTAAGTTTGTGTGTTTCTACTTCTGCAAGTACGAAACAGGCACGCAAGGATGGCGGCACTCAGGGCTCGTAAAAGGAACCGTGTGCTTAGTGCCTAATGCTGCTGCTGCTTCCAAAAGATGCTCGCCTACGTGCCATAACCTCCTCATGGTGCAGCTTTCAGAGTCAAGATGTGGGCTTGGTCGTATCTATCTTCAAAGACACATATATCTGGGCTTGAAATTCGAATTGTCTCTCTTTGCCAGTGAGTTTAATAAACAGATGCTTTCCTGGGAGATGAAACATGATGGAATCAATCATAGAATCATAGAATCATAGAATCATAGAATCTCATAGAATTATAGAATCAAAGAATCATAGAATGTGTTGGGTTGGGAGGGACCTTTAAAGGACATCTAGTCCTACCCCCTGCAGTGAGTAGGGACACCTTTAACAAGGTCAGGTTGCTCAGAGCCTCATCAAACCTGACCTTGAATGCCTCCAGGGATGGAGCCTCCACCGCCTCTCTGGGCAACCTGTGCCAGTGTTTTACCACCCTCATAGTAAAGAACTTCCTCCTAATCTAAATCTAATGCCTAATCTAAATGTTAAGCAAAGTGGACCATTTCTATCTACAGTTCTGAGGCAATGCCCAAATTTTAAGTTATGCTAGCACTGACTATGTTCGCTTTTACTCTGCAGAAAAAGAAAAGAGAATTACACCAATAATTGTGTATCCAACACAAAAGACGACGTCAGCTGCTCTTGGTAAGGCCCAACATTATTTTTGGAAATATCAGGCAAAAATTATAGCAGGTCCTCTTACAGTGTAATTTGTTGGCATAAATTGTAATTCTTTTGATCTTGAGTATATTCGCTGAGGCCCAGTACTGGAGTCAGTTTTGTGTCTTACTGTATACAATTAGATGCTGTCTTCCATGTAGGAGAAGCTATAGAAATGCTGTAGCTTTCAGCCACTAACAAAGCAAGAAAAGCATGTTTGTACCCTTATGTCAACTGCCATCTTCACTAAAAAGTATTAGTTTTTAATATTCCCTCAGACTGATTAAGGTTATCTGGTAGCTTTGAATAAATCATCTAGCTCTTTTGGGAGGAGACATTTTTTTGTCTGTTGTTTTTTACTGTTTGAATTAGACAGTTCGTTAGAAAGGATCTCACTTTTTTTTGGAAGATTATATTATGACAAGAAATTTCTGTTGCGTTTCCTCTTCCCTGAAAATGCCAGATATATTTTACACTAAGCTGTTTTAACTTGAGTACTATACCCACAGCAGTGTCTTATGATGTCATAGGTTTCTCTGACACTTTGTTTCCACCAGCGTAGGACTACCAAGTCATTTTTTTGGCCAGTCTATCTCTATGAAGTGTTTTATATCCCTTTTATTTCGTATATAGATATAAAACTGTATGCATTATTGGGCCCTATGTTTTCCCTATATTATAGATAGGCACCAGATTGAAGGCTCTTTATCCTTAGCTCTAAGCAACAACAACCATAACGAAATTTCTGATTTTTTGCACGATCTTTTAATCTCTAGAGGTCCAACCTTGAGCTGAATGCCCTTGCCAACAGCATCTCTGAGTGAAGCTACGCTGCAGATTAATGCCGTTTCCCCTTGCATTAACCTCTTTGGGCTGCAGTATGTCAGAAGGAGCAAGGCCACAGGAATGGAGCTATGTCTCCTGAGGAATGTGTCTGGTGCAAGAGTTGCTAACTGCTGCAGTGGAAAAATAATTTGGTCAGCAGCAGGAAGGACTGCCAAACTGAAGGGTCTTGCTGCCAAAGGACATCAAAAGCAATGTGGGGCTTAACTTCAGTTTCAAATGTAGTGCTGCTTGACGTGTGTGGGAACTTGATCTCCCACTAGAGATGGTGTTTTTCACCAAGAGAAAGAGTAGTTCTCCATATGTATCCAAATGACTTTTTAATATTTTCTTTTACCAACAGGCTCCAAGATGACTCTCTCATGCAAAGTGTTTGTTGGACAGAGCAGCCATGCCCATACTGATGTGGAATGGCTAGCAAATGACACCACTCTTGACATGGTTTACAAGCAAAGCAGGGTTACAGAGGGAGAACGGCAGTAAGTCTGGCTGAAATCGTTTCTTTGGGCTAGTTTTAACCTGAGTTGTTATGGGGCTCTCAGTGCAGCTCAATGCCAAGTAATTAAATGGGACAGATGTGAAATGAAGGGGAGAGCTGAGAAAAAAAGCAAGCAGGCAATCAAACAAAACCCAAACCCAACCCAGACACGGTGAAATCAATTCTTTATCTCTAGTTTTTATTCACGGTATACTGCAAATGAGCCAACTTCAAGGCTTCAACCTGAAGCACATTTTCATGGGCAACTGAGCTGATGTAAGAGCTAACTGCAGTGGAAAGCAGTGGGAATTGATCCTTCCCAGTCCTTCTCTTATCTCTCTCCTTGCCCTGTGCCAGCAAAACAGCAACATCCTCTCCCTGACATTCATGAAGTTCTCTGAACACATTAAGACAACAGAAAACTGCCCAGTGATTTGTTTTGGTTTGGTCTGATTTATTTCACAGCAATTGTTTTTCCCGTTGGGCTTGTTCTTTTCCACATTAGTGAGTTAAACTGACTCATGGAAGTGTCCAGTGAGAGCTAGAGCTGGTGCCAGGGAAGAGCTGGGGGGGATGCTGGTGGGCTGGAGAAGCAGGATGTGCCACATCCTCCTGCCCTGATCCATTGTCTCTCCCAGTCTTGCAAAGCCTTCTTTCAACTCTGTCATAGCGGCATGCGTTTCCCACTAGGAAAGGAGAGAAAAGATCTGCTGACACGTACATGTCACCTGAGCCATGCTTTCAGTATGTTCAGTCATGCTTCTAGTGCTTTGCAAATAGAAGGTAAACCTACCTCCTAAGATTTCTTCATTGAGGTCAAAGTCAGTGTGTTTTATCTCTCATTTGGCGAAGCTGAGAGCATCCACAAAAATTATCACCCTCACTCATGTCACGGTGGCTCTCCTTGCACTGGTGGACAGAGATGAGAAGGTTCCTGGGCTCTGGGATTAAGAATCATAGAATGGCATAGGCTGGAAGGGACCTTAGAGATCATCTAGTCCAACCTCCCTGTCATGGGCAGGGATACCACCTCTCGACTAGACCAGGAAACACATGGGGACTGAGCGGGAACCTTTGCTCTTAATGAATAAATGGGTCACTCACCAGCCCGCACGTTCCCAAAAAGTTCCTGGCTATCGACTAGGATTTACCATGAGGAAGAGACCATTCCCAAGAGTTTGGTATCCTTGTTTTGAGCGACAAGAGTGTTTAACAGTTATGGATGTGAGCTGGTTTTGGCCATTTGTGGCCATTAGTGCCAGATAACACCTGGCCATGTTTAGTTTATGCATAGCTGCAGTCAGAGCATAGTAACTCAGGTCTATGCTCAATCCCTTATGTGTTTTCATGTTCCTCACAGCACAATTGCGATAATTTATTTTTAATGTTGTTTACATGGATAAGTGACAGTGCATTAAGCCTCTGATCAGGAGGTCTCTGCAGGCTTTAGAACAGAGCAGCACACACGCTTCCTTACTTGGACTTTAAAAACTATTTTTCTTATTACTGTCACTACCATTATTACTGTTATTGCTGATAGGACTAGGGGTAATGGTTTTAAACTAAAAAAGGGTAGATTTATACTATATATAAGGAAGAAATTATTTACTATGAGGGTGGTGAAACACTGGAACAAGTTGCCCAAAGAGGTGGTGCCCCATCCCTGGAGACATTCAAGAACACGTTGGATGGGGCTCTGAACAACCTGATTTTGTTAAAGCTGTTCCTGCTCACTGCAGGGAGGTTGGACTAGATGACCTTTAAAGGTGCCTTCCATCCCTAAATATTCTATGATTCTATGTTATATATTATTATACAGTTGCACAAGGACAGGGGCCAACACCATCTAGAGCTCATGTGGAGCCCACGTTGTGTGAGACATCCCAGTTCTGCTGGAAGTGCTTGGAATGGCAGCAAGGCAAAACAAATCAAAAGCCACCAGGAAAACAAATTCCCTGCAGAAATCTCTGGCAAAGCACCCATCACCATGTTGCTGTCTTCCCGTGGTTCAGTCTCAGGAGGAGTGTGCAGGGAACTCCATTGCCACAGTCTGTAGCAGACACAACCAGATCATTAAAGAGCAGCTGGACAACTTCCTCGGCACAGACTAAAAGATATAAAGAGACAATGTTTGACTGCAGCTGGAAAACTACTTTAAAATAGTTGGACTGATGAAACAACCAGGTTGATGGAAGCTGGAAATTTCCAAGACAGTTTCTTGTGTTAAGCTCTTGGCTTTGTACATGTGACAGCTGGGAATGGTGATTCAGTTTGCTGAGTGAGCATTTGCAGAGCTATGTTCTCCATATGTCCTTTTCCAACTGATAGTAAGAATTAATTTCAGAAATTAATAGGTGTTCAAAGGGAAGGAATTAGGTCCTTCTGTAACACTGTGTAGAAAGCTCAAAGATATACAGAATTCTGCTTGCCTGTCTTCCCTCCTTTTTCTTTATTTTTCTAAGATAAATCCAGATTTTTTATTATTATTTTTTTTGCCTGGAAGATCCAGCAAGTGCAGGATGTGTACTGACTTCTGAGACAAATAGTTGACACAACAGGGCCGGAAGACATCGGAGTCCTCTAATGCTGAGGGACTAGTTCAGAAATGAGCAATATCCAATGCATTTTCTTGCAAAATTCTGTTAGAATGAACACATCAAATAGAGAAAAGCCAGCTTATAAAAGATTTTAACATTAAATTTTTCCTTCTCCACCAGAGAAATTGTAGAAAATGGTGAAAACTTCATCGAACTGCCACTGATTTTTAATTCTATTGAAGAAGTGGATTTTTACACAGATTTTACATGTCTCGCTCAGAACATATACGGCTACCAAGTACTGCCAACAAGGGTCAAGCAGGAAGGTAACTTGTTTCAGTGTTCATTTGGGATAATTGTTTGAGTTATGCTAATGCTAATTTATCACCCAAGCCCTTTATACTGTCAGAGCTAGTACGGAGTTGAATTATTGCCTGGGGAAAAACTGGTTGTCGCTTCAACCTTTAGACTTTGAAGTAGCTTGTTCACAAAACACACTTTCTGTGGGTCATTCACTGACATTTTCTGCAAGGATAGGGCTCTGTGCTGGTACTTCTGTTCACTGGACAGGGCTCCAATGTAGATACACTTCGTGAAATTATGGCTTCAGTGAGACTACTGATGTATTACCAGTGGGTGCATCAGGGCAAGATCTCCTCTAGTTCCTCAAGAAGTACGGGAAAAAAAAGGAAAAGACAATAACAGAATAAAGATCGGATTGTTCCTTCTCCTCATGCACAGACTGCCACCAAAATAAGAAGTGTAAATTCAAATGGGTGTTGTTATTTGGCTCCCAGTGTCAGGAAGGCAAGCCCTAAGATCAGTGCAATTAATGTTGCAATGTGATAAACCATTGGAGGAGAACCAGCTGTAAAAACAATGTGAAGCAATGTTAATTGTTTCTTTGCATGACAGTGATGAATTACCAAAGCTTGCTCACACTGTCTTAGAAAGGCACATAAACATTTACAGTCTTTATTATGAGCTCTAACTCATGACTCACTCCAGCATCCTATGATGAGGAATTTGTACTCACTTTGCTAGGTGATGTGCTGCCCTTGTCTTCCATGAGCTACACAGGCATTACTACAGAGGAGGCAATCCATGAACCAGCATAGACTGGAATAATCTAAGATGGCCTGGATGGACATTAGTCTGTCATATTTTAACCATATTTTAGGAAAAAGCTCAGAATCGTGGCTTGATCATTAGTAATTTATAGGCCACCAAATTAATATAGAAAGCACATAGCCACTCGGACCAGGGGTTTGAAAGAGTCATGTGTGTGCAAGAGGACTGGACTTTAAATTCTCACCCTCTATTGTTTTCAATTCTTCCTCCCATCTTCATCAACCCATTTCCGAGATCACTCAATCAATAGGCCTCTTCCTCTCAAAGGTGATTAACCCTGCTGGAAGGATAACTTGCAGACATCCTTTTTATTGGGATTTCTCCTCTTCCTCCTTGGACTTAGAGGACTATGTTCCTGGGATTTGTTTTGTTTGGTTTTGGTTTTTAAATATTCCATTTCTTTACTTTTCCAGCTGTTGGCTTGTCCTGGTACATCGCAATGATTCCTGTCGCATTGGCCTGCATGATTGGGGGAGGCACATGGATACACAAGTGCTGGAAACAAAGAGTTGGTAAAGGCTATACAATAGCAAAGGCTTAAAATCTGCTTTAGTCTCCAACCACTAACAGAACAAAAAAATCATCCTGGCTGTCTTTCACATGAGACACAGAGAGATGTTTCAGACCAAGCACACTGCTTTCCCAGCAGATGGATATATATACCAGCTGTTTTCCTCTTCACTAAAACTTCTGTGATCTGATGAAGTTATAAATACAAGTTTGCATTTTTATGCTCCCTAGATGCAGGAAACCTGCCTCTATTATTTTGCAGCTAGGGTGCAATTTATAGAAATTTGGA